TAAAATAATTATAGTAGATTAAAAAATTAATCTAAAAAACCACGTTTTCAAAAAGCAAAAAATAACCTTAAACGTGGTGCGCATGGAGATTGTTGGGAAGAAGTGAAATACAAATGAAATAGATGCACACCACATTTAAGGTTATTTTTTGCTTTTTGAAAACGTGGTTTTTTAGATTAATTTTTTAATCTACTATAATTATTTAAAACCTATAGCTGTTATTACGGCACACTCTTGTCCTTCTCTACCCATTAAATATATCTGATTTTTCAGCACTCCAAAGCTATAATGTTTTGCTCAAAGTTCGAACCACATTTCCTAGAATATGTTTCACATTTGAAAAACCTATGGAACAACCCATCTTATCATTTCATAAATATATGGACAAATCATTTTTTTAGGACTGTAGTTAGTGTACCTGCTACACCCATTCCTGAATAAGCAATGTATTTCCGATTCTTGAAGTCACTCATACACGACCACAGGAGAGAGAGTGTTGGGTGCCGGGCGTGAGGGGATGGGGGGCACAGGGGAGAGGAGTTCTGACGGCGTGCGATTTAGCTCCGGCGAGAATGTGCCTCACCATCCAGGTTGACGATGACAATTCTGTTCCAGTGCTTACGAACTTGACAACGAAATAAATCAAATCCTGAGTACAGGAATGGAACATGTTTTACACAGAGAGAATGACAGATGAATCACTGCTAATGTCTATGATTCAATCACAAGCACAATTTCAGAAGTACAGTACTGTACTGTACTGCGCAGTATAGGAGTCACTTGAGAACGCCTCATGTCAACAAACAGGACGACCAGGACGAAAGGATTCGGCGCAAGGCATGCTAGAATTGAGGGAAGACAGTCATGCTGAAACCGCCAGACCAGCCACACTCAATCTCAAGGGAATTCTGATTGTTGATTCTGAATCCTCGTCCACATCCGCGGAATCTTGAAGTGTGCCTGTACCTTTGACCACGAAAATGAAGTTCATGAGTATCAAGACTCAAGTTTTGGTGCTGACCTTTCTTATCGTGGCTGCGTTTGTGACTTATGCCGTGGTAATGTCGAGTGCTTCTGCTTCAAGAATGACAGATGCAATTCATGCCCAGGAACCTGCTGGTAACCTACCATTATACAGTATAGTTTTCTGCTGAGCTATAACTTTTTACTGTCGATGCACCAATTTTTGCGGAATCCAAAATTGTCTGTCCTATGTGTTTTGCAGGGGAAGTTCCTTCGCAGAATCACACCGCATCTGCTGATCCGTGGAGTTTTGTAGATGGTATGTTTTCCTCCATTGATGGATATAAATGCCCTGGAGTTATGATGGATGTGCAATCCAGAAAGCGTTCATGTTTTCACTCTGGAAGGAATATGTACACAATTTGGAGGGGGCTTCGTGCTGATTTTTTAAATCATGAATCACGTAATCTTGCTTGAGCTATCGTATTTATTTGATTACCATATGCTTTTACAGGACAAGACTTGCCCCTTTTTTGTTTTCTCAGAAACCTATTCCCGCGCATGAGATCCGCAATGCAGTTTTTGCTGGCTGAAAATCAGAATTTGTTTTTCAAGTAATGAATTATTAACTCCATGAGTGAATCAAAGAACATACTGAATTGATTCAGGATTAATGTCAAACATTTTTTTCGCGTGAGATTAACATTTGACTTATACCAATATAGTTCCATGATTTTTCTTTCTTGAAAAATGTATACCCGCATATGCCGCACCCACCCTGACCCTGCTTTTCTGCCTCAATTTTCCTCGAAAAAAGTGCGTGTGGTGATTCATACAGTGAATACCTTCTGCAATTGTCGCTCTGCACTGTACCATCTCTGAACTCGTTCTAAAGTATGCAGAATTTTCCTAATTTGACCCTAAAACTCATCCTCTACTCTTCTAAAAATCCGAAAGATTCTTCTATCAAATTACAAATTGAACGCGGAACTGATGGTAAAAAGTTTAAGATCAAGTCCGAATGCTTTGAACTGCCACCAAATAATGAATAACTTTACTCTCACACTAATCATTTATTTTATTCTCCTCCTTAGTGAACGCGAAACATTTCATGAGAAGGTTTACACTGCTCGTGGTTAATTTTGATTTTAATATTGTGCAACGATACTTGGGTCGGGTTCATGAAAAGTAAGTGCTGCTGGTGCATATATAGAAGCAGCACATGAAAGGTGACAGAATTCTGATTTGTATTAAAACTGAAATTTTCCTTGAAATTGCAATTTGGTCCACGATTGTATCGGTAGAAATAGACAATTTCAAGCTGAAGATTAGTTTGGGTTGTTCACGCCGTTGTCAATAGAGAATTTATTTCTTGTTCCGGATTTTTCATCTTACAATATATAAAAATAGACGGTTTTTAATTCTCCACACACAAAAATAAAAACGCCCAACGAGCTCAGAATGAGGTGTTTGACATTTTATCTAGATTTTACACTGACAATTCCTCAATGTATGTCAATTGATGGTGATTGATTCGTGATAATTTTCGTGATGAAACAATCCTCACAAACTTTTGCAGGATTTAAAATGTTGTGTCCTGTTTCCTCTATTCCTTTGCAGGGGGAGTTCCTCCGCGGAATCACTCCGCACCAGCTGCGCCATGGAGTTTTTCGGATGGTATATTTTCTCAATTGATGAATAAATGCGCTCATGTGATAGATACGCAATTCAGAAAGCGTCCACGTTTTGAACCTGGAATGATTATGTACACAAGTCTTGGCTGGAGGGGGCTTTGTGCCAATATCCATCATGATCAGATTCTTGCGCAAGCTACCATATTTATATAATTACAATGCTTTTCCAGAATAAGACTTGCACTTTGACTTTTGAGGTTTCACATAATCCAGGTTTTAAACTGAAAATTTCTCAATCATGTAACTATTCTGTGGGCTGCAGTAGTTTTTCTTTAAACGGTTTCGATTGGTGATTGATACGCGTGATATATTTTAAGTTTATGCTGGTTGTGCTCATCCACAGTTGGAATCCTGATAGGCGCAAGCGCGCTATCTGGCGTGTTGGCTATTGGCGTAATTCCACTTGCACTTTGCATGTTGGGATTCACTTGCTGGGGAGTTGTAGCTGGTTCTGCAGCTGCTTTGTGCCAGTCTGGAATTGGCAATGTTCCTGCGGGAAGCTGGTTTTCATGTCTCCAACATACTAGTGCTTGTGGAGCTGTGGGCAGATTTTTGATCCCTGTAACGTTCCTCATCGGTGCTGGTATCGGAGGGACAACGACTTTTTATATACTGGAGAATCAACATCGCAGTAATCCGGTAAGTTTAAGTTTCATGCAGCATTTTGTCATGCTCAAGGCTGGAAACATTTGGATGACATTTACGGTACTTGATCTTTGTATCGTGATGATTTGACAGCTGTGAGGCTGCTGACCTGATGAGGACTATTGTTCTATAATCTGCTTGACGATTAAAAATGTGCACCCTATTGGTCTTCTGTTTGCTTAATTAACTATGCGATGTGACCGTTGTATATTGATGTTGATCTTATTGCAATAGGAAAAGGTTCAGTTTATTTTTTATTCGCCTCCCCTTCATGTCCCCGAACGTAAACTACAGATAATCCAAACAATCGATTATTCTATAGAAGAAAATGTGCTTACCCAGCAGTTGTACAATGTGTGCCAACCCTTACCATTTGTTTTTCTGCCTTTTTTTTAGTTGAACGAAACGGATTTAACGCGCTTCATTGGTGGAATTGAATCTACTGCTGAAGATATTCGGAATAACCTGCCTGATTTCTCAAGCACATTGTGGGAAGACGTTCGTAATACTTCGGCTACTTCATGGGAGGACGTTCGTAATTCGTCGGTTACTTTGTGGGAAGGCGTTCGTGAAAATTCTGGCGCATTATTGGAAAAGGTTCAAAATACTTCAGGCGCGTACTTGGAAGATATTCGGAATGCTACCAGCGAAGTTGGGGATTTTTTCAGAGGACTTTTGGGCATATGATTCTGACGTTATGCAGGAAATGGGAATCACATCAGCGCCCCAGCAGTGAATCTTCGACATGTGCTAAAACGGGAGAACTCCTCTTTGTATCCCTGCGAAACGTTGCATTAAAAGACCGCCATGGGTTTTTTTTTTGACAGCCGTTTTTGTTCAATATTACTTGTAATGAATGTCTTTACCAGAAAGCCACCCGGCCTGCTCCTGTGATGCTGAATGCAAGTCTCTTTGTAAATAAGATACACAGGAACTCAGGAAGTTGCTGTCCTCTTACCTTACATCTAAGGTATAGAAAGAGCCCCAATCGACCAGCAATGCATGCAGGGGTTGATAAGGGCTCCCACTTTGCGTACTGCTGTTGGGTCTTGGCTTACAAATGCTCCAACTTACAAACTTTTGTTTTGGGTCTCAGCTGCCCTGGTTAACAAACCATGACTTGGCTTACAAATCATCATGACTTGATGGCTTACAAGCTTTTTTTTTTTTTTTTTTTACACATTTTTGGGTCTAGAAATTTTAAGCCAGGGATTTAAGTCCCTAAACTTTCTTATTGATTTTCAAAAGAATATCTCACAATTTTGTTGATGAATATTGTTGACTGCAAATTTTTTATTCCTTCTGCTGGTTGGGTTAAAATATAAACATTTTAATTGACTGATCAGCACAGATGATCCATATATTCTGTAGAATGTAAAAAATGTGTCCTAATTAATGTATGCTTCTAACTTCGAAATATTTTCTTTGAGGAAATTTAATATTTTGCTTGAATTTAATTTAGCTTTATGATGAACAATTTAAAACTGAAATAGATTGAACAATGCATGATGCTGTAATTTTTTAATGTGATTCAAGTGGAAGTTTCAGCCACATTTCTAAAGCTAGGTCAAAAGAAGACCGACACTTCACAAAATATTTGGCCATACAACTTTAAAAGGTTGGTATTTAATTTTTATGCTGTGTAAATGGGTTTTGAAATGTTTGAAAATTTGAATTTATATCCAATTGGCCAATTCACATCAAAATGAAACATGTGTAACCTGCTGTGGTATGTCCTTATATATACAGTATAGTCCCCTGGTTTTAGATTAAATTTATTCCATGGACTATTCCTTAAACTGGGCAGTCTGTTAACCAAAGTTGCATCAGCCATAGACTTACATGCTCAATTTTTTTTTAATTTGCTCCAAGTTTGAAAAATTCCAAGATTTGTTTGAAGTTTTATGATTTGAAATTTTTTTACAAATCCAATTTTGAATATCTTTTCAAATTTGTTCAGTTGTTGCATGCACACAAATGATTTCTAAATTTCCTTTTCAAGCATGCAAAAATGTTGAAATTTGACAGAGTTGCAACCAAAAATGTAAAACATTTCTTAAAATCTTAAAAAAATAAAAAACAACAACATTTTTACTCTTTGAATTCCAGCTATTTCAATTTTCAAAAATTTTCAATGAAAAAATGTGTAAATTTGTAAAACACTAATGCGCATCACACCCTGCAAGCAATTTTCAAGTTGCATAAAAAGCAAAAAAGTTAGGATGATGAACTAAACTGAAAAGTTTGAATTCTTGTTTCTCTTTTTCTTCCCAATTTTTCAAATTTAAAAATTTACCGAAAAGATAATTATGCACCAAAATTAAATTTTTACCTGCATTGGAAAAACCATGGAATTCTCTAAAGTGAACTTTCCATGATGTTGAACCTTGAAAACAATGAAAATAGACATTGATGAAAATTAGGATGTAAAAACTTTTTTAAATCATTTCTTTGAAAATTCCTGATTTTTCAAATCTAAAAATCTACGCCAAATTTTCTTCTCCACCAAACTTGGGTTAGATGTGCAGAGAAGTTTGAAAAATCTTCATGTTTAAAAAATATTGCTATTTATATGATTTACAAGCAAGAAACTAGAATTTTTTAAGATTTTGTATGAGAGATTTATCAGTGGGCTTCATTGTTTCATGTATTGACAGTGCATAAAGTGCAGGTGTTGTGCAGCTACAGAATGTCCCTGTTTTTTTATAGTTCCCCTATTTCAAAGAAATGGGGAAAGATAAAAAACCCCCACTTTTTAAGGAGGGAAACTCCCCCTATTTTAAAAAATTTGGGTGTTTTTCCCCCTTTGTTTTAAATGAAGCACAATTATTATCACTCAATCACCAAATTTATAACATTTCCAATTGTTGGCTTGTTCTTGAATTAGCCATATTCTTTATTCAACAAAAAAACAGGAAAATTTATGAAACTTCTCTATTATGCATCTAATCCCATTAAAATGTGAAGTTTGGTGCAGGAGAAAACTGTTTATACATTTTTAGATAAAAAAAACTGGGATTTTGGAAAAAAAGTGATTTAGGAAAGGGGTTACTTTCTCCTTTTTTCCTCAGTCAATTTGTGTTATTTTTAAGGGTTAAAAATGGGAAGTGTGGAGAACTTCATGCTGGTTCTTCCAATGCAGTTGAACAATTGCATTTTAGTGCATAATTAACTTTTTGGCAAAGTTTGAAAGATGAGAAATTGGGAAGAAAACCAGAAACAAGAATTAAAATTTTTTGGTTTAGCTCATTCTAATTTTGTTGTTTTTGATGCAAAAACTTGAAAAAAAATGTTGCAGGGTGTCATGCATGCTGATGTTTCCCAAGTCACTTTTTTCATTGAAAAATGTTGAAAATTGAAAAAGCTAAAATTATAAAAAGCAAAAATGTTTTTGTTGATTTTTGTACAATTTTCAAAAATGTTTTTACATTTTTGGTAGTCATTCTGTCGAATTTTCAGATTTGTGCATGTTAAATAAGAAAAGAAATTATAGAAAGCATATTTTTGCATGCAACAGTAGAAAAACCTAAAAAATAGGTTCAAAATTAAATTTTTAAGACATTTTCAAAGTCAGCGAAGCAGGAAACAGCTTACGGACTGGAGTCTGGTTAGCCATTATGCTGGTCTGTAAACATGGGTGGACTTTTGGAAACAGAGACAGGTAATGTCCGTAACCCAAAATTAAGTAAACCGAGGATCGACTGTATACAGTATATTTATTTGAAATTGAAAGTCAGTTAGGCTGGTCATGTTGGTTTCATATCATTGTAATAGTTTTTAAATTCTCTCATTTTCTACTGTTGGGAAATTTATTGTTCAGAAAAATGCCACAAAAAGCTTTTTCATTTGTTTTATTCTGCCTGTTGAAATTCGTTTCCTTCCTTGGATGGCTGATGTTGAAAATTCTGCCCATAAATTCAGTGAATTCTTAATTTATCATGGATAATTGTATATAGCGTGAAAGTGTTCCACTATGAGCTCTAAGGACGTGAACGCTGGTTTTCTGTATTGGTTTGCATTAAAAAAATATATAAACTTCTGGAGAAACTCACTTGAAATTTAATAATGTTCAGCAATGGGTTGCAGTGCTGCAGTAAGTTTCTTTTATGTTGCATTGAGGAAATTTATTAGATTTTAGCCCTAAAAATACTTTTTTAGGATTCATTCATCCCTGATCTTCATGATGTGCTGGTTAATATTCTCAAGGTCCAGGAACCAATTAAAATTATTCTTGTAATGTACTTTCTTAAGGGAAAATATGATTTTGCTAGCAAACTGCGGTATTTGGCTAACAAACTTTCCTCTGAAACCAATGAATTTTGTAAGTTGAGAACCCACTGCATTGTTCTCTGGGTTATAAGGGTGACACCTGTAGAATGTCTTGATGTTGAATTTGGCTGTGGCGGACATAAGCCGTGCCTGAATGCGTGAGGCCGGTGTGGGCGGCACAGTGTACTCCCCCAAAATCGTACTCCAGGAGTACACCCTGCCTAGGCAGGATGCACTCCAGGAATACACCCTACCTAGGCAGCGTGTACTCCAGTGTGCGCTATGCCATCCGGCGGGTCTATTCAAATCCGCGGAGTGAAGATCCATGGTGAACACATGCAGTAGGTCTTTCAACGAAATTCAAAGGAGAGCCAATTCCATCTGGTTGCAAGGAATCTTGTTGATGCTTTGGAGAAATGTCTTTTTCAGTCCCTGCCCCAACACTGCCACATTCTTATATAAATTTCTTTTTGACAAATTTTTGTATACAGTAAAATCTCGTTACAAGAAATACCGTTACAACAAATTTTTTGATACAACAAACTTTTTTTCAAGTCCAGGCAGAAATCCTATAGACTACATGTTAAAAAAATCTTGTTACAACAAACTTGAGAATTCCTTTATAACAAACTTTTTTGATGCAATTTTTTTGGTTTTTGTGGAAAAATTTGGAAAAATTACTTGAAATTTGCTGGTGTTATTCATCATTGAAGCCTGAATCAAAAGAAGCCTCAATATAGAGGCCCAAATGTTTCAAAATCTCCATGGGATCCACCCAAGAGAGAGTTTTTCCTCCCTGCCATGAAACCCCTTCCCTGGAACACAGCAAAAATTGCATGTAGAATTGTTTGGACCCTTGGAGATTAATCCAAAAATTCTGTTTCCCATGAACTTGCAGGAAGGACAGTCAAATACAAAAAACTTTAATACTGTAGAATAACTGCCCCAACAGCAATGACTTCCCTGGAATACATTTTTTAAAATTTATGGGATCAAACAATGAACCAAGAAGTCCACAGAATCCATCCAAACATCCAACCCAGGAGCAGTTCTTCAACATCTTCTGAAGAATAAAAATAAAGATGCACACCTAAAAGATTAAAAATTGTTCATGTCCCATGCATTGTGAAAGAGGTTCCAGTACAACTTTGGACAGTGACTGTTCACAAATTTTGTGAACACAGGATTTTTTTTTACCTTTTAATTCTGGATACTGTGGACAAATGCTAAGAATTGTATGAAAAGAATTGCTGGTAAAGTTAAAGATAACAAATTTGGTCACACAAATTAATTTTAATTTTAAATTGCTTGTGTTTCCCACTTCAGTGCATTTTTTTCATTGCTTTTTTTCTTTTTCTGTGTCTCTACACAGCAATGCATTTCAGTTCTATGCAGTACAAAGTTACAAAAATCAGTCAAATTTCCTGAACAAGATGTTTGCCTTGCCTCTTTATTTTGCAAAAAATGTGTCAATTTTCTTCTAAAACACGAACAATCATGAAAAGAAAAAATTCAAGCAAAAATATGCAATCATTTAGCTTGGATTCATGGTGCTGTCACCCTGCAGTCATGGCAAAAATCCTTTCATATTGTTTNACAACTGTGACTTGATGACCACTGCAATTTTTGTTAAATTCTGTAGCAGGTCAACAAGGACATGCTGCAAATTAAAAAAGGAAAATCTTGCTTGTTTGGGACAACTGCTCTGTCAACAGTATTCTTCCTTGCCTAGATAATATGCAAGTGGAGTATCTGCCACCAAACTGCACAGCATTTTTTCAGCCTCTGGACCAGGGCATAATACAAACTGTGAAAGTTCATTACAGGAAAAATATTTTATAGAAAATTCTTGCAAACATTGCATGTGATAAGAAGGATACTGACATTGACATCAAGCAAGCAATTGAAATGATTGCTTGTGTCTGGTCAATTAAATTTTTTCTCATGCTCTGACATTGCAAGTGATGAAAAATATGATCTACTGAAAAAAGTTGAGGATGCATTGCCAGCAGCAGTGAATAAGAATTTGGTTAAGAAGAAAATCACTGATTTTTTCAAACAATAATTTGAGTTCTTAAACTCAAAGACAAGCCTGATTCAGAATATATGCAGATCTGAGCAGAAAAAAAATTTTCCAGTCATTTTTTTTGATAATCTCGTTACAACAAATTATCCATTATAACAAACTTTTTCTGCAGTCCCCAAAAGTTTGTTGTAACAAGATTTTACTGTATGACAAAGCTTTTTCAAGGTACAAAACGCTTTCTTGTCCAAAGTTCTACTGTACTTTTCCATTAATTATTAACTAACATAACCTGACCTTATAATTGGGGTAAAGAGGATTCATTTTTGAGAACCACACATGGATGCCACTGATAACATTACGTGTGTTGTTCTTAGCAACATCTATGAGGGCATTGGTTTGCGTGTGGCTCCCCCCAAGTGGGATAGCTCCAAGGCCTCCCCTGAAAAGAGATTTCTGCAGAATTCATCATTATTTTTGCCAAAGTAAATGCCGCTTCAAGAATCACTGTGGAATCAACTTTCCTCTGATTTCTGTGGAAGATACACCTGCGTAAGTGATCACTTCAGAAGAGCCTCTGCTGAATCGCACTCCATGGATGTGGACTAATCCTCCTGCTGGGGGAGTACACTGTACCTGGGGAGTACGCCCTCTGCGCTGTGAATGATGGGAGCGGTCCCCGTCCGCGCAGTATCGGTGTGGGCATCACTCGCATCAGTTATCTGCTTGAGTTGAGCCTGTTGTGAATGTATCTTTGACCGCGAAAATGAAGTTCTTGAGGATGAAGACTCGAGTATTAGTGCGGACCTTCCTTATCTTTGCTGCGTTCGCGATTTGTGCTGCGGTAATGATGGGTGCTCCTGCTTCAAAATTGACTGATGCAATTTATCCGCAGGAACCTGGAGGTATGAACGGTAACCATTGTAGTTGTTTTGCAGAGCTGCCTTCTTATTTTACATGATTTCAATGCACGAACTTTTGCAGGATTTAAAATGTTCTGTCCTGTATGCATTTGCAGGGGAAGTTCCTCCGCGGAATCACTCCGCACCAGCTGCGCCATGGAGTTTTGCGGACGGTATATTTTTTTCGATTGATGAATGAATGCCCTCAAGTGATGGATATGCGATTCAGAACGCGTCCACGTTTTGAACCTGGAATGATTATGTAAACAAGTCTTTGCTAGAGGCGGCTTTGTGCCGATCTCTATCATGATCACAGTCTTGCGCAAGCAACCATATTTATTTAAAAACAAAGCTTTTCCAGAATAAGACTTGCACTTTGATTTTTTGAGGCTTCACAGTATCTTGGTTATACACTGAAAATTTCTCAATCGTGTAACTATTCTGTGGGCTGCAGTAGTTTTTCTATAATCGGTTTCGATGGGTGATTGATACGCGTGATATATTTTATGTTTATGGTTGTGCTTATCCTCAGTTGGAATCCTGATAGGCGCCGGTGCGCTATCTGGCGTGTTGGCTATTGGCGTAATTCCACTTGCACTTTGCATTTTGGGATTCACTTGCTGGGGAGTTCTAGCTGGTTCTGCTGCTGCTTTGTGCCAGTCTAGCATCGGCAATGTTCCTGCAGGAAGTTGTTTTTCATGTTTTCAAAGTGTCGGTGCTTGTGGATCTCGGGGTTTGAAGTTGATGCCTGTTTGGTTCCTCATCGGTGCTGGTATCGGTGGAACTGCGACATTTTATGTGTTGGAGGATCAACATCGCAATAATCCGGTAAGTTTAAATTTTATACCGCATTTCGTACATCTTGCGCAACGCTGAGAAAGACACTTAAGTGACATACCTATCTCCATATCCCAATGATTTGACGCCTGATTTAAGCAATATTGTTCTGGAATATGCCTAACGATTGAAAATGTTCCAACCATGTTATTTCGTTTGCTGTCTGTAACTATTCGTGATTGCTGTCGTACGAATAATGAATCAGCTGGTCTCTGAATGTAAGTAATTTTGATCATTCCATGACTTTATAGAAGAAGGTGTTCTTGAACTCAGCTGCATCCACGTGTGCCGACCCAGATCATGCGGTGTTTCTTCCTTCTTTTTAGGTGAACGAAACGGATTTGACACGCTTCATCGATGAAGGAATCTGGAATTTACTTGGATATGCAGCAACGTTGGAGGAAGACGTTCATACTAATTCTGTTATTACTTCGTTCGAAGACATTCGTAATAATTCTGGCGCATTATCATTTTCCAATAATTCTGACGTATTATTTGGAAAGGTTCAAAATAATTCGGGCATGTTCTCGGAAGATACTAGGAATGCTACCAGCAAAGTTGGGGATTTTTTCGCACTGCCTTCATCAGGCGTGTGATTTTGACTTTATGCAGGCCATGGAAATCTCGGCGCACAATGAATCTTTGGCATTTGCTGAAACGAGAAATCTCCTGCTTGCAGCCCTGAAAAGTTGCATTAAAAATCCGCCATGGGTATTTTTTTCGGGACTGCAGTTTTTTTATTACTATTTTTATTTTTTGTTTCTGAGGCATCTAAAGTCTGACAGTATTCTAGCTGGATTTTTTCAATCCCAGGATATGCATCTTTTGTGTGCTATGGATTTCATGTTCCCGTCAGTGTAATTCGTTTTCAACGGCACAGAACAAGTGTAACTACACTCTCCTTCACGGATAAGCTAAATTGTCACCAACTTCTCCCACATTAGCCATCAGAGAACTTTCATGAAAATTCTTACAGAATTGATTCAGTCTATGCTAACGCTCTAATGTCAGAAGTCCTCCTTGATCTTAAATATGCAATTGTGATTCGTGCAGACACAGCTGTTGGCCCAGCACTCCCGCATCCAGTACAAATGCTACCGAGAAAGAAATCATGTACAGTACAGTGCTGTAATTTGCCATTGAAATACATTTTTCCTCAATCGTACAGAACCTGCTGTGTCCCTTCGAACCACTGCATTCTAACAGGCCTCGGAAATCTTTCTTGACGCTCAAGAAAGATGAGAACAGAGGACCATTGAGTTTTTCTTTATCGATCATGTTTTTGATCCCACCATCTTTGAGGGGCGGCAGTTTCTCTTGAAATCCAAAAATATGCACATGTATGCCAGTAAATACGAGGGAGTGCAGTATTTGGTATTGGTAATACGATACTCACAATTTTACAGGTCTAATCACCCCACGTGCTGCTCAATTTTTTCATGGTTTATTCTTATGGTGGCAGTTTTATCATAAGCTCAAGAAAAACTTCGAGTCACCAGAAATAGTAGTGGAGAGCACAGCAAGGTATCAACTCAGTTATTAAGAATACGTAATTGGCTAAGGTTTTTTCCTGAATCTAAAATCAATCCTATGGTACAACTTCGAAGTACAGTTCAAGTACAGTATATTGGCAAAAATTTTCAAGCAACCTTATCCCATTGATTAGAAAAAGTCATGCGCGCAAATATATGTATAACAAGCTGTATTGGCACCTGCCCATGACCAAACAAACGCTTCCAACACTACTAGTAACATTTCACATCATCGGAAAACGAATAAAAACGATACGCCCACACGCAGACACAACACTGAAATCGAAATAAAAACTACTCAAAACTTCCTAACATCCAGAAAAGCGTCTATGAATAAAAAAAAATTCACACAAATGAATCATCCACTCACGTCCTACCAATTACCCTCATCGGTAGTTTTGGAGATACGTCTTAATTCAACTTATCACAGTTTATCAAAGAACGAAAATCGAATCAGACATAATGGAAATAGCTGCTTTCTACACACGCATGACGCAAGGTATCACAGCAGAAACGCCTATTGTATAAGAGTCTTTTCAGTCCATTGACGGGTCTGTCCCGTAAAAAAAAATCAATCAATTCAAATCAATCCACCATCAAAATCTTGAACACAGTCTTGCAGGGAATCCCCTTGAGATGTATGAAATGATTTTGCTTTCGTCATTATCAAAGAAACCACGGTCTTCACTGTAAGATGCCGATGTCCAGCTCTAAGATCTCCGATTAAAATTTTGATGTTGAAATGCACCAACTCCGGGAACATGAAAGTCGATCGTAACAAAAAGCTGCATTCAATGGGCTCCTCAACGCGCGAAATTCTTAGCAATCAAGTATCAAGTGGTTGACGGATTTAGGGACAATACGACGAAGTTGTTCTCCACTTTCCACGGAATCGCAACATGAAAATGACACCTTTCACTACATAATTCTCCATGCAAGAACAGTTTGGAAATCGCTATCAAAAGTGATGGTGCCGGCCGTCAGAACTCACATCGTTCTGCAATTCTTTCCTGAGATCCTCATTAAAAAAAATTCACCACCAGTCGAACATATAAAGAAACCAGGTCTCGCTTGGCATGAAAACTCTCGAGAACAGACTTTTGATCAAACAAACGACGAAAACCCGGGCAGTGGGGCTCGAGATCCGGCCATATTGTTCAGAACAATCTGCCCCCCGTTGAGCGACATGACTGTGGAGCCCTCTTGCTCCGACTCCGTAAAACTCGAATAATTCCGCGGAGGCCCATGCAGCTGATTCTGGCCCATTGCCCGCGTGTGTGCCCGCAACGTGGCCGGATTCAGCTGAGCGGGTGCAGTAGTGGACGGTGGCCCAATCACTGAAGGGTGCTGGTGGTGATACAGCTGCTGAGGCTGCTGCTGCTGCTGTTGTTGCTGCTGCTGCTGGACGTGATGCTGATGCGGAGGATGCAAGGAATACGGATCCGGTTGCGATTGAATAGTGTTCGCGCCACTCGGAGGGCGTGGGCTCGTGTGTTGATGCAAGTGGTAGTTGGAAGGTCCAGGCTGATAAGGTGGCAAAACGTGATGTTGCATGGCTGCGCTGCTGGTGGACGGCTGATTAATGCCGCTGGGGCCGGCGACTCCGGGGCCAGCAGCAGTTGCTACTGCTGAAGGTGGCGGCGGTGGAGGCGCCGGTCGGGCTTCTCGCTTCCACGTTTGCCTCAGAGTGTCGTTCACGTTGGCGTAGTGGTTCACGAACGAGTGCGGGTGAGAGTTCTCGCTTTCACCATCACTTTCGGTTGCCTGTGAAAATTCACGACGTCGTGTTATATACAGTAATAGCCTTTCGTTTCGTTCGACGCCAGGAATAAAAAATTAAGGACAGATTTGTCCTTCAAAGTTATGCACGGTAATCAGGATTACAGCGAAGAACTTTTTTCCGTTTCAGAAGCGAAAAAACCAGCTATACCAGATTTCCCTGCTTTTTTTAAATTTAGAGAAACACATGGTGGGATTCAATTTTTTTCACGATTGATTGTCCCATGTTTCACATACAAACAGCGGTTCAATTCGCCGTTAACAGATGTCGCTTGAATTGCATTCTAGTTTCATCAGGCTTCAGCTGGGCAAGGTTTTCATTCTTTTAATGAATTAATGATCAAGGCAACCCCTCCAGCAGAAAGCAAAGCTGGGCGTTGAAATTGAAACAAGAAGTTACTTCTTAATTTAATTTAAAATTTCCAGGCAATTTTGTTTTCAAGCGAAATTAATATATTGTGCTGCAGTGTTGCCCAAAATACACAGCCCTTCCCTAAAAAATTTCAAGGTGGCAGCCATCACTATTCAAAATATATGCAGTAAATATTGAAAGATGAATTTGAAAATGAAAATGAAATGTTGCTCCCCCCTTGAAAAATTCGATAAGACGGTGCTTGTGATTCAATGCATTACACTGAATTAAATTGGAAACGCTTAATTTAGTAAAGGGGAAAATGCTGAGCCTAAAAAGTTATTGTCCATCGCGGCCCTCAAGAACTCTCCATGTCTGCAATGTGGCCCTCAGCAACAAAAAAATGCATTAATGTGGCCCTGGGCCACATCTGAGTCGGGAGGCACTGTTTTCCAGTATCTTTCTTCATTTTTCGATTCCACGATCGCCCAACACTCGTAGATGTGCTCTCTATTCCGGACCTTTTTTGGAAGTGAAAAGGTAATGAAGCATGTCTGCGTGAACTTTTTCTTTATCACCACTGAGATACTAAAACTAGAGAGAGAAAAAACTACCGCGATAGAAGCACAGAAACCAAGCAAAAAAGGAATTCAAACCTGAGAATCAGTCGTGCTCAGCTCGGAAGGCTTCTCAGTCAACTCCGACTCCTCGTCATCCGGGTTCGGATCGTAGCCCTTCACCGACGAGCTGTCATCGTCGCTGTACGTGACAGACGCTGGACGCGGACGAGGCGGCAGTTTCCCGAGTGGCGCCTGAGAAGTTCCCGGCCTTCGCAGACTACCCATTCCGTTCCGCACACTGCCCAACGTACCCGACAAGCTCTGTCCATGGCGGACAATCGAAGCACGCATTTTACTTATCGAATTCTTGCGACGAGATTGCCGCATCCCACCGAGGGATCCAAAACCGGATTCGCCACCGTCCATACTGAGAGATTCATCGTGCGTCTTATTCGCTTCTTCTGAATAAATTCAACAAGAAACAGACATTAAGCACAATATCCCTATACAACTTTCAGTCATTTCTTTGTTATTGGTGCTGATCACAGGATTTTCTTTTTAAAGCTCCCAGCTCGTCTTGCACAAAGGTTAGGTTCGATAGGTTAAGTTAAAAAGGATAGGCTAGAATAAACACGATAAAGAAAGGTTAAGTGGAATACAATACAACAGGCTAAGTTGAATAATATACGACAGGATAGGCTAGGTTAAGTGGGATAAGATAAGACAGGTTAGGCTAAGTGAAATAATATAGGATAGGCCAGGTTAAATATGATAATAAAGGATAGGCTAGGTTAAATAGGATAAGACAGGATAGGCTAGGCTGAGTGGGATAACATAAGATAGGACGGGCTAGGTTAAATGGGATAACATAAGATAGGATAGGTTCAGTGAAATAAGATCGGATATGTCGGGTTAAATCGGATAAATTAGGACAGGTTGTTAAATAGAATAAGATAGGACAGGTTAGGTTAGGTCTGCCAGATCGTGTTCAGTTTAGATAAGGTTAGGATACAGTGCTTTGAAAAATATATTAGGTCACACTAAATTAAGAGGAGGTAAGCTATGTTAGTTTAGGAAAGGTTGGGTCAGTTGGGGTAAAATTGGTCGGATTTCTCCAGTAAGGTCAAGTCAATTAAAAAACGATTAGGAAGACTCAGCTAAAATTAAGAACTATAGTTCAGGTTAGCATAAATACGTTTGATTCCGTCAAATATTTACTCAAGTATCAGGTTAGTCTAGCTTCAATGGGTAAGTGGGTTTGATCAATTGTCCGTAAATGTTCGGTTTCCAGGTTGATGTATTCGATTTTAATAATTTTCAGTTTGATTGGCAATAAAATTAGGTCAGTTAAGATATGTTGTCTATTGATGTAGCAAATTGTGCCCCAGACAAATTCTTAAAACTGAAAAGCGGACACAAGAGCATTCAAAATAAGGTCTAAATTCCAACCAGCCAAATCAAGATCAAATCCACTGAAGCCTAACTCACCCTTGTACTTGTAAGTTTTGCTCTTGACGCAGAGAACGGCAATAACCGTTATCAACAACACAACTCCGCCAGCAGCAACGACTACCAAGAATTCCGGCCGACGATAAAACGGAGGTTGAGCAGTAAAACCGTATGCCTTTGCAGGAGTAGCAAGAGGGTTGCTCATCGTCGCAGCAGGTGAAACGCCGAATGCGTTGTAAGACATCACTCTGAACCAATACCAGCTTGCGGGTTGTAAATTCCCATAGGGAATACTGTACGATTCCACGGGTCCTTGCGTCGTTCGACTAACCGTCTCCCATTGATGATCACCTTTACAAGAATAAGCACAATGATTACTGCATTTCATCACGAGAATTCATTAAGGGCACATGAATTAGTCTAACGTAGATCGTAATCTCCCCCCAAGATAAGAGTCTTTCAAGATTTTCGGAAACATGCCTTGGAGCTTTTTTCGGAGTACAGTATTTCTACTCTCGATATTGGCGTAAGGCAATCCACAGTTCCACAATCACTCGATAAACAAAGTCATGTTTCTTCCTAGAATCAATCGTAATCTCATCGTTTCAAAGACGCATACCTTCGATTTTAATAGAATGAATTCCCAGGTGATTGAACATGCGAATATTTACTATAATGTAAATTTCATTCTTTGTTAATCATATCAACACTTTGATCAAAACCTCCTAAAATTATTTTAAATAAATTCCGGAACAAATGCGAACTCATAAATGATGGAGCGAATTAAAAAACACTTGCTGGAATTAATTTTCAGAATGGGATACTTTGTTCGAGAGCATTGTTTCAACGAGCAAATGATGGAGAAAATAACTTTCCATGCTCCAGTTCCCACGCGGAAAAAAGATTTGAATCCCGCGCTTGCAAATATGCGAACGGTGAAATTCAGAAAATATTGAAAAATTTTGAAGCACAAAATTCAATGTTGCAAAAAATGCATTTCAGAAAATCACAGATTTATTTCAAGAGGAAAATATACCACTGATCGACATACACCTTTGAACATTGATCGTGACGACGTGTTCCACTGATTATACCTACCCAGATGCTCACATTAAAATCCCCAAATGATCTTGTTACTACAGTACTACGAAAAACATGTTTAGTGATGCATACTGTAACCCCTTTTTCTTTAAGACCTTCAGGTTTTCTAAAATCAAATTTTATCGCACTTCTACAACAGTAAGGGTAAGAAAATAGACAAACCTTTCCGTTTGGCTTGAATTAGATAACCGAGAATCGGTCCTCGCCCTGATCTCCCGTTGGTCCAGCTTAGCGAAAATGCACTCAGCGTTTCTCTCACAGATAGGTTCTCAATTGCAGACGGACTTCCGTCTTGCGGGCCAGTAGTGATGTTTGCTTCAGACGGTGGCCCGTCTCCAATCGTGAATGCCCGGACAGTGAACGTGTACGCAATGCCTTCGTCAAGATCGGTTACTAACCAATACGGCTCTTGAACCCTTTGCTTGACCTCCTTCGAGAAATCTGCGAGTTGCAAGAACGAACAGATGTTTTAAACATTTAAGTAAGCAACACCTCGAATAATTCATGCACTTTTTTTTTCAGAAGAAATCGGAATTATAATGGAAGCAGTAATTCAATATGGCTCACTGTCATTCGGTTCCGCAGTTTTGTAGATCACAGAATAATATTGTATTTCTCCGTTCGGCTTCTCCGGCGGATTCCAGCTCACTTGAACAGACGTCATCGTAATTTCTGAAAACAGCAAAGGTCCTGGAGGCCCTGGCAAACCCTGAAAAACCAAAAACATCGTCATCATCAGCAGGCGCTCATTGAAACAACTCAAATTCGACAACTTTTTAAAAATGCACGTCATCGATTTGTCTTCGTCTAAAATTGATTTACTGCACAGTAACCGAACAAAATGGGACGCTTCATAAAGCTTTGTTTCTTGCAACCGTCGCATAACGTATCTCTTAAAAAAAAGTGGCACCAGAACATTTTCAGCGAATTTTCTATTCGCAGATTTTACGTTGTGATGGTCGTAGGACGAAATATCGGATGTCCCAAAATTTGCCAGTGCACTTGAAAGACGTTTAACACGATTCGAATCGCATCGGAAATGAACTTAGAACTATGGATCAACGTTGGTGGTAAACATCCCACAAAGGTTTACAACGAATTTGCTTGAATTTATTGATATAAAGAAAACATAGATCCTGAAAATGTTTCGAAAATTTCTCACAGGAACCCAATGAACCCTCCATTTGCAGTATTAGAAATTCTAACGACATAGAAACCTAATAAAAGCAAATCAAATTATTAATAACTTCGTAAAACCACAATATGATTATCCGTGATATCTGAACTTCCACCAAACCAAATATTCCTGGTACTATGTAAAGCAGAAGCATTTATATTAAAATAAAAAAGAGTTTCACAGAACACTTCTGGAAATTCTATAAACATACACCAATGCAAAAACTACAATAAAAAAGGCAAGTCGGTCAATCTCACCTGTTGCGTTTTCACGGAAACCGGCAAAGACCTAGGTCCGTCTCCAGCCGCATTAAACGCCAAGATATGAATCGTGTACGTCGTATACGTGTCCATGAAAAGCAACATATGCGCAGTGGTAGCAGCAGGCACAACTTCCACTTCTTCTTCGTGATCCGGCTTGTCCTCGTTTTTGTAGAAAATCTTGTAGCCCAACAAATCCCCATTCTGCTGATTTTCTCGAGGGGCGAGCCATGTGAGCGACACTTGATGCGGCGATGTCGCAACTGCAGTAACGTGTCGAGGTTCGCCTGTCGGCACGGCTTCACCGACCCACACTGTTAGTGGACTCGACGCTGGACCAGCTCCCTGAGCGTTGAAGCCGAGGACTTGCATTTCGTAATTCCTGTCTCTGATCAAATCATTCAGCACCATTTTGTCCGCCTGCAAACCAGATATAATCCTCCGTTATTTTCTGATAGTAGAAGTAGGTGGAGCATCAATCCGGCAACAGCAAAAGCAATCAAGATTGAACTCGTGTAAAGCCCTTTTCTTCTTGGAACTCTTCCCAAAAAGTACAGGATGTCGCGGGTCGACTAGATGTTGCCTGGAGCGCAAGGTACAACAAGCACAGAAGTACAATGCAGCGTACAAAACGCCACAAGAAAACAAATTTGAGAAAATGCCAACACAAATAAAAACATGATTTTGAAGAATTCCAAACACAATGCCTGAAGATATTGATCTTTGGGAATAATTCCATCAAGTGAATCATCACTTGGTCAAAGGAATTATTAAGAATTATACAACAGAAAATTAGTCACACCTCAGCGAAAGCCTTGGACAAGCTTTCCACTGAGGAGGACCTGGACCTCTGCAAAATGATCAGAAGAATCAATGAATCCTACTCTGAACTTCGGAAAGACCAGACCTGCTTTTGTGTGTGACATATTTTGACTGAAAACATTTGTGGACTTGAACATACAGAACCATTGAGGAGTTCGCCCTCAGGACGCAAGTGGCTGATTGTGTGTACAACACTTTTATTTCACTAAAACCAATCTTTGTCTGTGAGGTCTCAGGGACCCCCAACACAAGACCTCTAACATTTGTTCTGAATTATTACATTTTGTGACACTTGACATGATTAAGATTAATCTAGCCCAACATTGGCCATAAAACACATGCACAAAAATTCAAGCAGCAAGAACGTAGTCCCTAAAAAATTGAGGGAGTCATATCCTCAAAAGAACCTAAGTGCAGTTGAACCCGAATAAATGGAACCTCGATAAATCAAATACCTCCCAATATACTTCGAAATTTTTAAAAAGTCCTTTCCTGAATTTCCTCGAAAAAATGCATTGAAAACCCCTCGAACTCAAAGTCTATCCTCCTCAAACCTCCACAACTCGACTTTTTCGGAGGCCTTTTGACTATTATACTAATGACACAGGAAAGATAAAAGCAATAACGAAGTAATTTATGTGTTCCGAAAGGAAGTGGTAGACTAAGATAAGGGATAAATGAATCCGTGCCTCCAATTTCAACATCCTGTCAACTAATTTAAAAAGCAATTACAGGCTCAGAAAATCCCCATTGGTAATTCCCTGTAATTCCTAATTTCTTTCCTCCAAAGAAAATGCTGGATTCCTTCACACAGTTTTCTGTGCCCCTGAAGTTTGACTGTAATTGTATGCGTCTCTAAAAGAAATAGCATGCGTACAATTAACTTCTACAATAACTGAAAATCCAAAAAGACGAAAAGATGTGCACTAACCTCGATGTCGTGGATTTCCTCCTGTTGCACATTGTGCGAGATCGAAGGAAAATGGTTGACTTGTCGATAGAGAATTCTGTAACCTCCAGATTTCAAATCTCCGTTCCAATCACTTTTCGCCAGAGGAGACCATTCGATCCGGACTGAAGTTCTCGTTATGGGAATCACTCGCACGGCTTCTACGGATCTTTCAGGGGCATCAGGCAAAGTCTGAGTCAAATTCGACGACTTTGACCACGGTGAAGGGCCGATGTCGTTGAAGGCACGGATCCGGAACCGATACGAAGTGAATGGCTTCAGTTCCTCGCAAGTATAAGTCGTCAGCATGGGATTCACGCGCTTCGCAATACTTTGCCAGGGTCCAGTCGAATCCTCCGCAAATTCGATTCGATAATACCTGGAAAGTTCGGAATTTAAAACTTGAAATACAACTTCTGCATATAAAACACCCGGTATGATGTTTATGCCCTGAAGCCGTAACGAACGAAGGTTTGCACGAAAATTTCAGATACGGTACATCGGATAACCCGAAAATCTGGATATTTCTTCTCTCGAGCAAACTTCAAAATGTTCGCTCAAGATACGGTACTTGCAATGCTCAAAAAATCTTTTGATGCTCGAAAATCGTATTGGTATGCAGTATACTGTACAGACAATAACGTAGAATTACTTTTAATGTTCGAAAAGGAGAGATTCGAATACGTCCCCCGATAAAGGGAACTCCGCTCGTCTGGATATGTAAAACAACAATAATACTTGAACATTGCTATCAAAAAATGAGTTTGGATTAGAACGTAGTTTTCGCTCAAAACACAACGAAAAAAACAACCAGCTCCATGACATGAGGTCTCAGATTCCAATCGTCCAGCAAAAAATAAAATGAATCGGGGCTTAGTTTCAGGATACTTCATTCGGAGTGAAGGGGAACTGCGAAATGTTTGTCAGCTTTTCAAAATTGAAGCACTGAAATAAATGCTGATGACCTACATGGTGTACAATGATTGCTGAAAAGCAAAAACTAGGCGCCAGCCGAAGATTACTCGTTCTGAAGAAATCCAGCATGATTATAAACGACCTGATTCTCTTGTGCCCTAAATCAAAAGTTCAACAGAAATCTGTTCTGTGGCTGAAGTTTCCAGGAAAACACGAACTTATACCTCAACTTTAAAACATCGTAAACCATTTATCGTCAATAAAAATAAATTTAACACGAAGAGATCAACCTCGCTCCAGCGAAGATAATCGAGTGCTTGCTGCTTCATGTGTTCAGGAAAATCGGTCAAGACCCACGTACCTTAAGGGAGCAAATCCATCACGTCCTGGAGTCCAAGAGAAAGTAATGGATCTACTTTGAACTTGTGAAGGACTCGTTTGAGGTTGACTCGGTGCTTGAGGACTCTCCCTGTTATTCGTCATATAAACCAACGCGTGCGCAGTCGCACCCCAGCCCAAATTGGTTTTCGCCGTGACCGCGAACATGTAATAAGTCTCGGGTCGCAAATCCGTCGCACGCAGCGTCCTCGCAGTACTGGATAATTCTTGCGTGATGTTTGTGGATTCGGGTTGCTTGTGTTGGAAATACGTGACCCGATAGGCAAGAATTTCTCCATTAGGTTCCGCCGGAACGTCCCAAATGATTCTCGCCATCGAAAGAGACACGTCCGGAAAGGAAACATTCGAGGGTTCGCCCGGTAGGTCTTCGAACGTACGTAGTTGCACAGGAGGACCTGAAAGGGCTCCATCGCCGACTCGGGTGTAACCGAGAACCTGAATGTGGTACGTCGTGTACTTGCGAAGTTCGGTTAACGTAGTGACGAATGTTCCGTTATCGTGGATGTCCTCGTACTGAAAAAGAAATAATTTTCATTAAATATTCAATAAATTGAACAGGTAAAAAAAAATGAGCGTGAAGTGAGAAAAGCGGGTTATTCTGTTACACCAATCTATCCTCAGCCCATGGTTTCACTTTCTAGTGCGTAGATGTCGCATAAATGTTACTTCGTTCTCTTGATCGTGCATTCAAGGTAGATGTCCGGTTAGGGAGTATATAAAGCACAGAAGTACACAGTACTGTACCACAATTTGTTATCAATGCAACGAATTTTCCGAGTATTTTCATCACAACTGCATTTTTATTACAGAAAATGTCATTATAAACCGCATTTTCCATGGGGCTTCCTTATGTGCGCGCATGAGCGTCGAGAAGTCACACACAAATTTATCTGGCTTCGAAAAAAATTTTCACAAAAAGTCAAGGATCCATTTCCTCTAAATTTTTTTTTACATGCTTCGAGTGTTTCTCTTAGAATACACAGGTATTCGCTAAGTTTAATGCAGCAATTCTGAAGCACAGTAAAAACGCTGACTTTTTCTCACCAACAACAACTTATTGTTAGTCACCTGCACATTCTTGTAAGACGGAAAAATTTTGCACTCACCCGAAACGGAACTGTCTTCGATCCATAGTAAACTTTGTATCCAAGAATAATTCCATTCTCATTCTCCGGTTCAATTGGGGTCCAAGAGACAACAATTGTAGTAGATGAAGTAGCCTTGGCTTCCACCTTCCGAGGTCCACTGTTGGGCACTGAAAATAACGAATTTAACGACCATTGACTTCCATTTTCAAAACGGCATCATCAATAAGAAAAATTGCAGTACTGAATCACTGTATGAAAGCATTTATGCTATCCACTTGATGGGATGAAAAGACTCAAAGGTATGTCAACCTGTCTAGGTGGTAGCTTTCAAATAATTTTTGATTTAGCTGTTGACAGTTGTTTTGGCCATTGGCCTTGGAATGTCTTTCTAGGCAATTGGTAAAACTAGCAGGGTTGTAAATCCCATTCCAATGCAAAGTTCAAGTGAGCAGGCATTAACTTTGGTTTCAGTAAAAGGATAATAGACCAGATAATACTGTGAAAAATTTTATTGCCACAAACCTGGCACTAATTTCTTTTACTCACAAGCATACAAGGCATGTATAGGGAGCACACACAAAAAACAATACCATTTCTGCCTCCATGAAACAAAAACAAAAGAATAAATATTTACAATTCATATCTAAGAACAATCTACATAAAAAAAATTGAGGCATCTTGTACTTTGATTTAGTACAAATATAGCAGAGAAAATTTGCTGTTTGAGAAAATGTAAGAATTTTAGAACTAGAATATTAATGCCACTCTTGAACTCTTGAAGACACAAGATTTCACACACTCTGATTTTTTAAGCACACATTGAACAAATAGCATAAAAAAAAGCACAACAAGACAATTTTGGTGCCCATGAAGTCTCAAAGAGGAGTGAGTGAAACATTTTGGACAGAGCAGCTTAAATACACACCCAGTTAGAATAATACCCATACAAATTTCCAAGCACCAAATCTGCCTGAGACACAACCAACTTCTGCCTCCAACTCCCTTGCGCCAATTTCCCATCCCCAGAGTTCACTGCCCCTGACATTGAGGAGAGTCAAACAGACTCTTTTCCCCAAATTTAAGCACTCCAATTTGGCCATGCCACTCCCACCAGGTGAAGCTCTGAAGAATACATTTTACTGCCCAGAAATTTTGACTGATGTGTTCCTATACCTCCTATGGAGGCTGGCAAAACTTCTGCCAGAAATTTGAGTGCACAAAACTGTGTTGCACCAGAAAATTCTGCTTGGCGTAATTTTTTTATTCATAGACTTGGAAAATTAATGTCTTCACAAATGCCTGAAAGATGACCATTTTTTTCCTCACTGGAAACTGAGCATTGACTGATATTTTGAGGGTTCAATGGACTCGAACTTGCATAACTGTATTAGGATATTTGTTCCTCATCTTACAATTGACTCAGAATTTGGGGGGGGGGGGGGGGGGGGGGCCTGAAAAAGGTCAAATTTTCCCGACTCATGGAAGATCGGACACCGCTGATTTTGAAAATGTCTTCATGCATAACGCAGATTCTCTTAGAAAAGATAATTTGATTTTTTTAAAGATTAGGTATTGAAAGGCCAGAGAATCAAATTGGTCAAAAAGCGAAGTAATACAGTACCTGATTCTCTCGTTTGATCTCTCGAAGACGAACTCGGTTCCGAGGATCCAACATCGTTGAAAGCACGAACAATGACCTCGTAGTGCGAAAATTCCTTCAAACCGGTGAGAACGAAGGAATTCGCAGCCTGGTCTTGAACGATGACGTGTTCCGTCTTGACACCGTGAAGCCACCAATCGTCCTGATCGTCATCATCATAACTTCCGGGACGAATAGTCATTTCCAAACCCATGTCACGTAAGTCATTTCCTCTGTTTACGTCATCGTATGCAGAAGTCGGTCGCAAGCTGAGACGTCGATACGTGATATTATAACCTCGAGGAGCTCCGTACCACTCGATTTGTTGAAGGGGCTGGAGAAAAAAACGGTACATTTTCAGTCAACCATATCAAAGCGAGAAAGTATTTCTTCGGCTTTAAAAAGCATCTCGGTTTATATGCCTAGAAATTGTAATCGAAAGTATTTTGCATGTAATAAAAAAGACATACAGACCTTTATTATTGCATTCAATTTCCAATTAGCAGAGTGAGGAGAACATCGTTTATAGGCTTTCTCATGTTTCGATTAATAGCTTAGCTTCTTCGAACACCCCAGAATCTTTACTTTTGCGCTGTTAACACTGGAAAGTGTCGCCAAAATTTGCTTTATTGCATTTGAAACATGACTGTTTACTTTGAACAAAAATCAGGGAATTTTACCAGCGAATCCGAGATGTCGCCAAACGCATAAGACGCGCCCCGAAATTTTTTCGGCGAAAATTGCGTTTTATACTCAAGTTTTGCGATAGTTTTGTTTTACTGGAAATTAGCGTGCAAAATGGCAGAGATGAACTTACAATCCAACGAACACGAAGTTCTGTAGCAGAAACTGCACGAACAGTCACGTTCCTGGGCGCGTGCTTGGGTGGAGCCTGGATCGTCTGGAATGGCTGTGAGGGTTCAGAGGGTCTCGAAGGACCCACAACATTATTTGCTACGATTCGAAGGCGATAATTCATGAACGGCACGAGATTTTCCACTGTGAGAGACCTCGCATTCGGATTCTGCTTCAGTTCGAAAACCGGCTCCCAGGTCGACCCCAAACCTTTCTGAGCCTGCAAGAGGAAAAGTACGAAAGTTACTAGAGAATTTTGTTTTTTTCATTCAATTTTACAATCAATCGGTCATAAAAGTAAGATATGTTGTCCTTCTTTTGTAAATGAAGTATAACTACCTTTTAATCATGCCAGTATGATCTTAAATCTTGCACACATTAATCCCACGTATGCGAGGAAAAGTTTATCCTTCAAGACACCCAGAATATATATTTTAAGATTTTCATTTTTATACGCAGGTTATTCCTCATACGGTAAATACAGAAGGTTGAAATTATGTGATGAATCTTTTCTTTTTCTTCTGAGTGCATCACAATAATAGCGCTACATTTTTTTTCCGAACTTCTCTTTGATCACTCCACACATTCACGAGAATTTTCTTCAACTTGCCTCGACTGTCCATTTGCTGATGGAAGAATTTCCGTCAAACCCGGGTGTGAACTGAAGGACAACAGAGAATGCTTGAATGTTAGAAACGCCCAATTTTGTAGGCGGTTCCGGCAGAACTGGTTCAACTCCACTCTGCATTACTGCTACTCTGCTTTCGCCCACGCCAATCGCCGTCCAGGCCACGATTTCAAATTTGTAGTGCGTCAGCGCCTGTCAATGAATTCATAAATTAGAAATCGAGAAGTTCATCAGATAAATTCTCATCTTTTGCGAATCTGCTTCAAGTACTGTATACACAGTAAATTCTTTCGGAATTGTCATGAATTTTATTCATGCAAGCACATCTAGTTAAATTTCAGCATATCAGCCGCTCAAGTTCTTGAAATTTTCGAATTCAATACATGACGAAAACACCGTGGTTCGTACCGTAGATGGCAACAAATGCACGTTGAAGTTTTGTCTTTTGAGCCTTTTTCGTGAAGAAAATCGATTCGAGACCTTGCTGATTTTAGATAGACAATTAAGTGGCAAAGGATCATTTTGGAAAGAAAACAAAAAACAAAAACAAAACACACGCACACGCAGCGAGGAATAATATACTGCAGCTTGAATGCCTCATCGATCATTGATAGATACAGGCCGATGAACAGGAAATTAATGAAATATTCAAAAAAAATGAATGAACTTACTTTCAGATCCGTGATCTGCGCATTCGTCACGTCTGCAGTGAAGTTCGTGACGATAGCAGAAGTTGGCACGTCCTTGATCATGTGGGTAAGCGTGTATCCCATCAGAACGCCGTTCGGTTTCTCCGGCGGTTTCCACCAGACCACAACCTCACGATCCGTCACGTTTTCAAAGGCAAACTCTGACACAGCATCCGGAACTGCAAAAGTTAAATGAGTACAGTATATTTCAGTACATAAAATTAAAACAAAGAGAAAATTTTAAATGTCAACACTTCCGAAAGAAATGCGTCGCTTTAAATAAATTTTTTTGAGCAAATGAACCCATGACTCCAAATTCAGCATATCATAAAATTATTTAAGAAACAATTTGAGTCCAAAAACAGCACCTTCTACAATTTCCTGTAATTCTAATTTCTACCCCTCTCCCCTTAAATGCTTGTTCCGAAACTCGAAACCTCTCCCTGACTCGATTTTTTTCATGGTCCCTTGAAGTTCGACTCAAAGAGGCTCAACTGTACTTAATCAGTGGCATAGGGTATTTCAATCTCCTCACCATCTTGCAGGGTCCTGACAAGTACAGGTTGACTCAGAGGACCATCACCAGGATTGGTGAAACACAAGACCGTGACATGGTACTCAGTGTACTTGTCCAATCCACTGATGACATCAGTCTGAGGTTCCATGGGGTTCAAGTAAGAGGGGGCAACCGTTTCGCTGAGAGATGGGCCTTTCGAAAACACATGTTTGTCCCTCGGATCACCTGAAGTTCAAATAAAGATGGAATGAACAATGAAAAAATTAATATTCCCTCGTAACTTCGCTACAACCTTTCCAAGCAAATATCTTGTATCCTTGGTTGATTCCATTGATTTTCTGCGGATCAGGCGGCGTCCAAGTGACTTGAACTGCGGTAGAATTCAGCGAAAAGGCTTCGACGTCCGTGGGGATTGCTTCCGGAACTAGCGAATAATACAGTCACGACGAACACAACATTAAAATTAGTCCCAATAATTATCTGAAACCAGCAGACTGTCCCAAAAAAAAGCAAGTCAAACCAACCTCCTTCTTTGGTTTGCACTCGTATGGAATCGGAGAAAACTCCAACGCCTTTCCTGTTATACGCAGCGATACCGATTTCGTAATCCTTGAACGTGATCAAATCTTGAAGCAGATAATTCCGCTGTGCTTCATTTGTGATGTTCCGGTATGACCAAGGGGAATGGCCGTAACCGTACAAGCGATAACGCACCAAGTACCCGAAAATTCTGCCGTTTTGCGCATTTTCCGCCGGTGGCTGCCACTGGATCATTATCGATGTGTCTGACCGTGCGGAACCAACCAGGCTCTGTGAAATAAATTTCAAATAAATGAATGAATGATACATATACAGTATATAAGCCGCCATCATTTGTTTGTGTGGTATTCGTGTCGGTTTAGCAGGTTTGTTGGTTCATCAAAAAAGCTGAAATACAGTAATACGAAGATGAAGTAAAATACGGAGTAAAATTCTTATTTCTCAAGAAAACATTTAAAAGAACCCTGGGATGCGTAAATCATACATACATGATGTTCCCAAGAAGTAAATTTTGTCATCTTTGTGTTCGTGTTTTTTTTTTTCCAAATCGAAGACCTGTCAAAGAAACTTGAATCTTGTTGGCGGAATATCAGAGACAAACATTAATTGGCTGGAGCATATTTGAGTTCTCAATAATCTCGGGAGGATGACGTTTCAACGGGGTTTCCAATGCTATTATAAGCAGAGATAATATTTTTTTTTTAAATAAATAAATCGGACTTTGCCAAGGGCGGTGCCTCAGCTATGTTCGACGGTAATAATCAGAGGTCATTTTCTGCCGTTCCTTCCTGATCTGAACAATCAACGAGTTGCAATGAAAAATTATGTCAGTGAACGTCTGCCAGGTGTTTTCAACGTGATAACAATAAAAAGCAACTCTCCTTGATTATTCTAGAACTTCATTCTCTAATGCTCACGAAAAATCAAATTCGACAGCTGATATCCGAATAAAATTGATTGTCCACCCTAAATGGAACTACTCACGTGAAACAAAGGTAATTTCCCAAAATTTACTGTTTCCACGGGAAGCCTCTTATTTTCATGTAAACGTACAAATCATGCATTCGAAAAAATTCGCAGCGTCATTACGAATAATTTCACGAAGAGAATCTCTCATTCAATATTCAGAGAAAAGCAAACTTCAGATGAAATTACTTGATACGAAATAACAGTACAGAACTTCGATTATCCGGACTAAAATGACCAACACTTCCTTCAGCTCGGAAAATTAAATTTCACAGTTGATTTTAAATCATCAATTAGCAGGGTTTATCCGGATGCCCGGGGTTATACACTGTATCCGTCTTACTCCTTGGATCACTCCGTGAAGTTCAACAAAATGTAAAAGAGTCTCGTCGTGAAAATGCAAGTACCTCAGGAGGTCCGGAAGGTGGTTCCGGAGGAAGTGTAACAGCATTCGAAGGTCCAGACCGAACTCCTTCCCCAACCGCGTTGACTGCACTGACTCGGAACTGATACGATTGAGCAGCTTGAAGACCAGACACAAGAGCCCATCGTTCCTCAGAACTTATGTTGCGAAGCATCGTCGTCCAACTCAGATCAGGTCCAGGAAGGATTCCTACAATTATTGGGAAAGCTCATTGAAATTCGTGTTGACGAATTCATTCACAGTTTTTATTTTCTGAAATTCGTCATGCATGCACGAAATTTTCATTTCGTTTCTAACGTATTTTAACCTTCAAGCACACGTCATTTCTAAGATAAGTCTGATGTAATCGAATCTGTCGATATCTCAGATTATCAAAAAATGGGCAAGAAGTGCTTCAGCAATTACTACCCAGCATTTATTCCTCAGTATCATCGGCAGGGATAATACACCATCGGTCATCCTTGAGCATAATCAAACTGACCTGGATTACCGAAAGAATGAGTAATAAATCAAGATGGCCGATTGATAAATAGAAAAAATACGCACTTCCACCAAAATCAAGAAGAAAAAAAGAAATGGATCTACAATTTGGCAACGCGCAACAATACAGTAAGTGCACCTGGAATTTTTTTATTGATCAATTTTTAAATTGATGAT